GGAGGAATGAAGTGATACGCATGTTCAACGAATGCAAAAAACTAGTGAAATAGCAACGAGACTTTATTATAACATTTCCCAACTGAATCTTGCCAATTTAATGCGAGTCCACTCTCTGCTCATCCTGCAATTTTTTTTGCTGAAACGTGGAAACGTGAAAAATCCACCATTTTTTTTTTTTTTTTTTTTTTTGAAAACAAAGAGAATCGAAGGTAAGTCCATGTTGGCGAATTTTTTTTCCCCCCTTTTTTTCCTTTTTTTTTCTTTTCTTTTTTATGGAAATATTTTACGACTGACCAGAAATGAAGGAACAAAAAATTTATAAGATTCATGAATACGTACGCTAGAATAAATTATTTTTCACGATTTCAGAATTATAACGCATCGTGTTTTTAAATGTTGAACATTGGCGTTTCGAGATTACGTGCGTTTAAAATTAAAAGATATTTTTCTCTGAAGTTTACGATATATTTTTTTCATTGTGATCTCGATATTAGAAAAATTTGTATCTTTCCATACAGAAATTAGAAATATTAAAATTTTTTTAATATCTCTTTATTTTTCCAATAAAATTTAATTAAATCATGTAAAATTTAAATCCATCTTCGTTTTTACATCTGACTCGATCATTGCCCGATCAATTTCAACAAAATTCGAAGATCGTCCACGTATATCCCATTCATGAATATTTGCTATCGCAATAGTATCGATTATTCGATATTAATTAATTTCCGATTCACCGGATTTTCAATTACATCGACGTTAATTCTTGATGACAGATTATTCAAAAATGTGTATACAAATTTTTATCAAATACTGCTTACATTTTTTTTAAATTATCCATTATATAAACCAAATTGGAAAATACCCCCCAACATAATAATAATATCTTTTAGCGTGAAAAAATCATTCATCGAATCTCATTGTTCGCAGATACAATGAAGAATAACAATACGAGGAGGGATAGAACGAAAAATCATCAAAAATGACGATACCAAACAATTATACCACGTATATGTTACCAGCTTGCGATAATCTGACCAACTTCTTCAACCACTCTCGTGATCTAACCCTTGACTCGAGATTATGGAACATGAGCGAGTTGAGCCATCCCTTTCATTCCTACAATTTAAAGAACATAACGTGTTTGGAACACGCGCCATACTCAAACAGCAACACTTTCTTTAAATCTCTCATGTTGACCATCATAGCGGTCACCAGCTTATTGGCCAACCTGGCCACCATATACTCGATCGTCAGGTGTCGACGAAGACACCACTCCTGGTCGGCGATTTACACGTTGATCCTGCATCTAGCTGTAGCTGATCTCTTCGTATCCGTGTTCTGCATAGGCGGGGAAGCGATGTGGAATTACACCGTGGAATGGATATGGGGAAACGTTGCGTGCAAATTGTTCAAATTCTTGCAGGTGTTCAGCTTGTATCTGAGCACGTTCGTGCTGGTACTGATAGGTGTGGACAGGTTCTTTGCCATAAGATATCCTATGAAAGGGATGAACACCGCTGACAGATGTTTGAAGTTCATCATCGTTGTGTGGATACTATCCTTTGTATTGTCACTGCCTCAGGTAAGCAACGTTGCAATATTTTATAATTTGCAAAAGTGAAAGTTAAGGATTCAAAATGGAAAATAAAATAATTAAAAATAGGAACAATTGTAAGGAACTAAATTAAAAGGGATAAATTACTTTATTTCCATCTATCCGTTTGATCATTGAACATTCACTTTTGATCAATTAAATAATAATAATTATAATTATTCAGTTAGGAAACTCGCCTAAATGAAGAAATTTAAATTTAATTGTAGTATAATTGATTGATAAGGTACATCTACAAGTTGGATTACACGTTTCAACTCTTAAAACGATTGTAGAAACTTCAGTCTCTGAAAATTATCAAGGGTAAATAAGGAATATAGTTAGAATTCCTTAGATTAATAGGGAATTTTTAATCAGGAAAGAGAAACGAGTTAACAAATTATTGAACTTATTTAATTATCTAAAAAGATTAATATAGGATGTATACATAACATAATATAAATTAATTAACTGCATTTGTTCAATATTCTTATTTTTTATTTATTTTTTTTATATTACTTAAAATTAATGTATAATCAAAATGTTTCGTTTTAAATGACGAATGGTGATCGTTTTGAATTGCTTTCGATATTCATTATTCGTTCAAATTCACAATATGATTTAATAATGAACATTGTGTTATGTGATACGTAATTATCATTAAGAGGATCGAGTTTCGTGGTTGAAATAATTTGACAATTGCGTATTTTAGATTAAAAATGATATAAAACATCTATGAAAATATATATATTTCATTTAATGAACTATCGAACCAATTTACATAAATAATACCAGTTGAGATATAATGAGATAATTAGTATTATGTCGCATAAATCATAACAAGCTGAAAAAGCAACGCAATATAAATATTCAAGACATTAAAAAAGTATATAAATTTTTTTATTCCTAATTTTTCGAACAAAAAGTAATATATTAATTATTACAACGTATTTCTAACATTTTCCAATACCCTTAATAATTTTATTTTTTATAATTTAAATTTCATTACGTGTTTTCGAATAATATTCTTATTCGAAATTCTATCACTGTTTTAGAGCGAACAAAAGTTGATAGAGTATCCTGTCGTTCCTAAATTTCTAATTCATCAATCGCTGCGCGATACGAAATCGAGCAAACTTTTCGACGAAATTTGTCCGCTCCAAACGAGTTAAAAGTTCGATCAGTGAAACCGATCAAGTGGCTGATTCGCAATTAAAAAGTAATTTACAGCAGCTGACATTCGGTTGCCGATAAAACTTTTCAACAAATGTGCGAAAGAAGAAAGTAAAGAAATCGCTTATTTTTCTCTTTCTCTCTCTCTTTCTCTCTTTCTTTACAACTTCTATTTCTCTCAATTTTTTTAATCGCATTTTACGGAAAACAGCAGCCATTACGTGCGTGAAATTGAAAATAATTTTCATTTGAAAAAAAAATTCTTTTGAATAATAATTTGCCAAACAATATTAATAAATTGAGTCAACGAATTATAAGTAGTTTCATTTACAATTTTAAAATTACATATTATACTTTAAAATTCTAGAGTTTTTTTTTTCTTTTTTTAAAATTGCAAGTTATAGATTATGAATCTTTTATGAATTTTCCATAAAAGATAACTTGAACATTTATTTCTGTAAGATTTATTTTATTATCTTGTATTAAACCCCCCATTAATATTAATAGATTAGAAAAATGCCTAGATAAAAATTTGTTGTTCTTAATATCAATTAATGGACGATTATAAATTTAACTTTTAAATATTTTAATTCATCATTGTCACAGACAATGTCATGTCTTTAATTAAGCTTAAAATGAAGAACTTGTCACGAGCACGAGCAAATGAATTATAAAACACTGGAAAATAATAGCATATCGAAATTGGAAACTGACCCAAACCGCGGAACATCACATGCGGTTTTCACGACAAAACCAAAATTCTGCGTGGTGGCGCGCAAAACAGTTCCGGATGTCTGGTCAGAGAAAAGTACTAATTTATATGTAAATTCGTGGTAAAGTAAAAAACTGAGATGTAACGATGTTACGTTGTCCATTAAAAAATGGAATGGCCTGATTAAAAAAGAAAGGGTGAAATGTAGAAATTTAAACGTCAGTTTGCAAATTTAAAGCTAAAAGCTAATATTAATTAAAAATTTTATGACTCCTTCTTTCTTTTTTTTTTTTTGTTGAACTTAAAAACTGTGCAAATATAAATTTAAAAAAAAGAAGAAGAAATAGATATGTTGTTTTTCAAAAAAAGAAAAATAGCGCATCAAAAAAATTTTATACAAGTTTAATAATAAAATTCTATATATTTTCACTCTCCACTGTTACAAAATTATTATCAAATAAGACATAACATGGTATTAACATGTGTCTCATAATAAAACGATGTAACTTGTACAGAAAAAGGAGAATAAAAAATTGTCATAGAAAAACTGGATAGACGAGAAAATTATATAAATTACGTAGTAGAGTATATAAAATGTCAATAAAAATGAATCAATCTTAGGAAGATACATTATACAACCAACATGTTGGTACTTGAATCTTCTATATTAATTTATGTACGACGATTTATAAGTTGCTTTAAGATGATTTTGTACTTTCTTGCATCACTGAAAAAAAAACCATATAAATTAAGAAGATATAAATCTTATCTTATATAAATTTTATCTTAAGACTCAAAAATAATTAGGTAATTATCTTATCAAGCTAATTGACTATTTTTTCTCCTACTTTTAATTTTTTTAAACAAATATTAATTATTACTGTAGTAAAAAAAATTTCATTCAATCTTTTTCCGAAGATTTTTTTAATAAATCTGATTTTATCTCAAACCATTTTCCATTTCCTCCCCGAGCTGTTTACCATCATATCAATTTGCTACTTTACAAAACATAGGAATACGCCCCCTCAAGAAAAGCTTCTCGAATAAATTGCTGCCTCAAGCTTTGCTTTGTTATGGTACAAGCTGTTCAACCCTATTTCATCTTGTGCTTAAAACAAAAAGAAATTGGCCGCGACATTTCAGTAATCCCTATTTAAGATCAAAACCAACTCTTTTACAATAACATTCCCTACATTCCCTATATTAAAAACATACTGAATTCAAATAATAAAATCCCCATATTTCAAACTAATCTCAAAAATATTGATACAATTTTGTAAATCAACTCTCACTTAATTCCTAATCTCTTGATAAATGAAGAAAGACCATACATACATGATTATTAACATGATTAACAAATATAACAATTTCTTACATTTCGATATAAATAAATGCACAAACATTCACACAGTTCCATAGTAAAAAAAAAAAAAAATAACAAGACACTTAATACTCTGCCTCTCAGATCTTTTACCTTACCCAATGACATATACACACCATGAGGAATCATGTGCATTTCTACTCCATCGAAGAGACACTGGACAACGAACTCTTCTCGCTGACCGCGGAATCGTAACCTTCCAACGATTTCCGCGGGCAGAATTTATCGAACGGTTCGGAGGCGGGGGCCCTTTTCAGCCGATCCAAATTGCCACTGCGGCCCGTACCACCGCATGGGCATTTCCTTCTCCTTCTTCTTCGGCTACGAGACCGCCTCCGCCTCCTACGAGTTCGGCAGCCGCCTCGAGCCGCCCGCCTACGCCTCACGCGTCTTCTAGGCTTGCATCTGCAGAATCTCCTCTTCCTCCCACGTCTGCGCCCTTTTTTCTTGCATTTGCACCCCATCTTCCGCTGCATCCTGCTTCTGCGGCAAGCGTCCAATAGATTCACCTCTTGCTCCGCGATCTCTTGACACTTTATATCCCCGTTCGTCGGTAAAATGTAATGGCCGCCATTCTTCTTCAAGATGCCGTACGCCACCCCGCGTTTCAAAGCCGTTTGCATCTGTTTGGATTCGAGGATTGAATTTTGGGGATACAAAACAGGGGGATAAGTGAACATGGAGAAACGTGTTTAATAAATATTGGTTAGAATTTCGAAAATGGAAGGGTTGAAGAAAGGCAAAATTCATTTTTGTATCAAATTTTGATCGGATAGAAATAATGTATCATTTTGATAATTTTATTTGGAAAATTTATTACTTCTAGTAGTGTTTGGGTAAGTTTAGATGTACATGACTTTTGACTATTTTTTTCTAATAATTTGTAGATTATAATAATATATTTATAGCAACTTGTTGTGCAAATAATTGTGTTCTAATCAAATGAGAATGTAAAAATTTATCTTTTGATATATTTTCATGATGAAGATTCTATTATTCAAGAAAAAGTTGCTAACCTGACGACGCGCTACATTTGGTAATATATCGTAGACAGACGAGATATAATGCAAGATTTCTTTCGAAGTCGATCCTTTTAATTCGCGAAGATTTTTAATGGCCTTGATGACTAGCCCGAGAATTTTAGACGAATCACTCACCATGATTGCATCCTTCTTCTAAACTGCAAAAGAACATCGATCAAATTAGAAATCTTTGTATTCATAAGATGTATCTGTAAAAAATTTTTCGCGCCATTTTTCAAAATATCTGAAACAACATTCATTTTCACTCGTTAAATGATATATTCACTTCGACAAAATGATATAAATGGTTAACATTAGTGCATCATACTTTTTTTAAACGTAACTATTTAATTATCATAAATATATTCATGATATATTCATACTGTTGATGAGATTTATTCTAACAGTTGAAGAAAACACGTAGAAAAATTAATTTCGTTTAAACAATTTGTTAAATCATTTTTTATTTTAAAATGGATTTCAAAGTTTGTGATATTTTTATAATTTATTTTTCTATTTAAAATATTCAAAATCATTAATACGATAATTGGTAATTTGAATTTATTAATATTATTATTATATTATATTTATTATTGATAATGAAATTTTGTTTTAAAATATCGAAAATTGTTGACAGTTTTCGTGTCTATTTTGATAATATTTAACGAGTAAAATTCAAAAATATTAATTTATTTTCAAGTTAGATTAAACTGGTTCAAAAATAGTTTATTTTTATTATTAACCTGTTTTTGAACAATTAATTATCGGAAATTTTTACGCGATACAGCAAAGATAGAATTAAATAATAAAGCAACGAGCGGATATCCTCTAACCCGATCATTTCTAAGTTCTCTTTTAAATAAAATATGAACTTGACATTGTGAATATTCATAATAAATTAATAAATTATTATTCAAATATATACATGCGCTATTCTACACTTCGCATACTTCTTATTGCGTTGTTAAATAATTCTTGAAATGTTTGATAAATTGAAAAGTAAAAAGAAAATCAGCGTTTTTAGTAAAATGTATTTAACAATCAATCTAGGATAGTTATTTGTGTCTTATTATTATATTAATTGAAATAGTTTCGATTATTTTTATAATTTTTTATTAAAATTGTAACCGAATGTTATTAATATGAATTAATGAAATATTTCAGTATATCATAATCTTGAATATAATAATGTAAAATTAAAAAAAGAAAGAATATCTTGACTTTTTATCAATAAAATCAATAAAATCTTTGAAAAATATTTAAATACATCGAAACAATTGGTCACAAGGAAAAGTAATTTACGTATTTTAAAAAATCAGATTTTAATGAAAATTTTTATATTTATAAAACATAACTAACATTTCTGTCTCCTTGAGACAGAAATCAATCCTCAAATTTTTACCATTTTCTCATATTTTCTATTCACGAATTTCAACTAGAAATACTTTTTATAACAAATATAACAGAGCAATATTTAATTAATTTATTTTAAATTATTTTGCTCCATGTATTCTAAACTATTTATTTATAAAACTTGAAAATAATATTGAAACTTTAAGAGATAATTTTATCTTCTAGAATCAAAGAAACAAGTTGCTATATAACCCATTACGATCACATATAACCCATATTCACAAAATTTCGTGTAAAACAGAATTATCGTTGATATTGATTATTAACACAATTTATTAATTGAAATCGAAATAAGATCTATGAATATTTCTACAACTGACTGTATATCTATACATATATGTATATATATATATGTATAATAATAACCGATAGTACCTTAAGAGATGGTAATTAATTGACAGATAGTCTTGGCGCTACCTGTTCCCGTGAATTTTGACGAGAAATTTTTATACTTCATCGGGCTACAACTTTCAATCCATGATTCGTTGATTTCCCTCTCCCTTTGGAAATTTTAAATACTTTGGAAATTTTTAAATTTTAAAACGGCGACCAAAAATTTTCTTACGTCACATTTCTGTTAACCGATGGGTGGAACGAGCATCGACGTTTACAATTGAACGTAGATGTTTCGAGTATGATCTTTTTTTTTTTTTTTTAAATCGCGACTCCATTTTTCGTAATAATTTGAGAGATAACCTATCCCCAAATTCACACGTCGAGAGTCGATGTTACGATCGATAACACAAGATCGTTGCATTGTGGATGTATATACGAAAATAATTACAAATAAAAATACTCTTGGGATTCAGAGAGAAAAATTCACAAACGAGCATGAAATGATTGAAATAAAACAATCGTATTTATACGTAAAATAGACTAACTAGTTTTTTAAATATCTTTTTTAAATCCCTTTTAAAATAATTAGTTCTTTAATCTTTGTTATAATCGATTTTGAATTTTAAAATTTCTCCAAAATAATTTAATTTAGATTTTTCTATCTTGTTATATTAAACTCGATATGCTAACTTCTCGCGTAATCTCTTCATTTGACCGATTGAAAAAGTCCAACGCAAAAATGCAAATCGAGACGAGCGGACTCAAAAAAAAATTCTTAAAAAAAACGAGGAGTTTAAAATTGTAAATTGTCTATAATTAATCGTTATATAATTGACGATGATTTCCTTCTTTTTATATATATATATCTACACGTAGAAACGTGAATAATATTTCTCAAGAGATGTATAGATATCGTATAGATTTATAAAATACAATTCAATCGATCAATTGCAAAGTTATTATTAATTCATTTCAGAATAAAATTGCATTGAATCCGAACACGTATATGCGAAATATACGTACACGACATTTTCCAATTTGATATTTTCAGATTATCATATTCCACGTTGCCCAAGGGCCGTTCGTCGAAAAATTCGAGCAATGCGTGACCTATGGATTTTACACAGAGCCTTGGCAGGAACAGCTTTACGTATCGTTCGGTTTGTTTTCCATGTTTCTTCTACCTCTTGGCATCCTCATCGCCACCTACGTTTTCACCATAATTACAATATCTCGTGAGTATCGTAAGAGATATAAATTTTGAAAAGATTAGGAAAGATTGTATATACAGTACATTTTTTTCTTTTCTTTTTTTTTTTTTTTTCTTTCAATTTCGTTTCGTTAATAGATCTATCTCCAATCATTTTCCTTGTACATATTATTTGTTCGAGCCATGTTACGAGAAAAATAATTTTTCAGGGAGCGAAAGAATGTTCAAAGTGAAATTGGCCAATAACGATATATGCCACGTAAACGGAGATGTAAATCGAAGAAAATTAATGTATCGAGCAAAAGCTAAATCATTGAGGATCAGCATCGTTATAGTAACTGCCTTTATATTTTGGTGGACACCGTATTACACAATGATGATCATATTTATGTTCTCTTCTCCCGACAAACATGTGAGTATTTTTATCATAATGAATAATTTTTCCTTCTTTTTCTCTTTCTCCCTTTCTGGATAAATTTTTTTTTTCTTACTCATCCCCTGAAAAAATTCTCTTCTCTTATCTCTTCTTACTGAAATAATGAACACTCTTCTCATATATTTTCATCAATCATCATAAATATTTCATTTTTGTACTTCTTTGAGAAAAAAATGAGAGATTTCCATTTTGGATCCATTTTCCAATTTGGAAAATTTTAAGACGTCCTTTTGATTTCTTCGCTTTTTTTTTATTAAAGATATAGATATTATATTTAAGATATTTAAAATTAAAATTTAATAAATTGAATGCATTGTAGAAAAAACGAAGAAGATATCTATATATAATATGATAATAAATTTTAGCAAGTATAAGAAACATTTTCATATTTTTTGAAAATATAAAAATATCGTTTATTTGCATTGGATGTATTAAGACCGTTATAATATATATATAGTTTACTTTGAGGAATTAATAAAGATCTTCGACATTTTCAGTTTAGCGATGAATTACAAAACATTATCTTCTTCTTTGGTATGAGCAACAGTTTGGTAAATCCTTTGATATATGGGGCGTTTCATTTGTGGCCGAGAAAGCGTCGGAATTTCATGCATAGGTATATTAATATGGTAAAAAAAAATATATAATTTTTCTGTATAATGATTGCTTATTCCATCTTGCAACTTTCAGGGAAATATCTACGACACAACGCAGATTTACTCCAACCAGTAGCTATAGACGAGATTCACGAGAAACGCGTACACCAATTTTACCAAAAAATTATTGAAATCGTATCCATGTCTCGATCTTTATTGTGTAAATTGAATAAGTTATTGATATTTTTAAAAAAAACTTTAATAGATTGATGTAAATATGTATACTTGCTTAGTAGTAGTTATAAGATGAAGAAATTTTGTTATTCAAAGTTGAATTATATAACTCTACATATGTAAAGTAGTTTATCTTTCATAATTAATATAATGATTATTATATTTTGTAAGATATGTTTTTGTAAAAATATGTCAATAAAATAAGGTAATATAAAGTAAAATAATCTTGTAATATTATATAAATGTACAAAAATAAAATTATACATTAATAAAAAATTAATTAAGAATACAAATAAAATTATATTTTTTCCAAAAAAAATTTTTGAATTTAATGTTTTTCAAAATAATATTTATACTGCATACAATCTTTTCCAATATTTAAAATATATTTATATATGAAATGATTAAAAAAATTATAATGATGAAAGATAAAATAATAAAATATACATAGCATCAGAAATCAAATATTTAATAAACATGATGCACTCTAAATCTTTTTTGAATTATAAAAAAAAATTGTGAATTAATAATTTGCTTATAATAATTATCATTCAAACTATACATACAGTGCAATATTAAATTTTGTTCAATTACAATTGATATTAGTAATTAATTGCATCTATTAAATAAATATTAGAAAATTATAAATAATGAAAAAATAAATTCGACAAACAAATTTTTAATTAATTATTTTTTGATAGAATGCTTCAAAATTCCCTCCTATTTTATCGAATAATATCTTACATTAAAATGCTTGCATTATGTATCATAAGATATATGTATCTTTTACGAATTAAAGATAATCATGATAAAACGAGAATATAATATTTAATTTAAATTTTTTTATATTAAATATTAGGACATATTATAGCTTTAAAAGAGAAATGATAGAGAAATAATGAAAAAAAATAATCGAAGTGCGTTTAATTGACATTTCATACTTTCACGATCACCTAGAGTAACAATAGACAAAGAAAGCAAGTAATAATAAAGGACAGAGAAAGTAAAAATTCGGGAATCAGCGCCATCTCTAGAGTGCCGCAAATCAAACACAAATAAATAAAGAGGGCAAATAGTTAAAAAAAGATAGAAATAGGAT